TTCAATCATTGTACAAAAAATTTGAAAAACTCGATTAATCTTGAAAAACTTGACTAAAACTCGATTAACCAAGTTGGAATTTGAACTCGAATTCGAATTTTAGATACCGAGTTCTAGTTAGAACTTGATTCATCAGGCTCAACCAGACTCAAACTCGGTACTATAGCAACCGAGTTGAGAAAGAGAACCTAGATACTAGACTCGATTTCACCCCTACAAACAACCATCCTTTCAACAACCAATTTCAACAAAACGTAAAAAACCCTAGGTAGAGTGGGGGGCAGCGAACAGTGGGCTACCGTGGCGAGGAGAATGGGGGTTTTGTAGAGGAAATGTCTGTGAGTCAGGGGGTGGTTGTGTTTTTTTTTTTTTTTTTTTTGGTGAGGGAGGGGTGTCACCGCTAGAATCAGTCATAATCTCGCAAAGGATAGTCGCCTGACGTTACGGATGGGCACATAGCCCAGCCCCGCGGGGACCCGCCCCGAACGGGGCGAATTTTCTCTGAATTTTTTGGGATTCGAGCGAGGCTCAGGCCCAAAATTACCCCCCAAAATTCGGGGACGGGCCGGGGCCGGGATTGGCTTTACCCCAACCCGTATATATATATATATATATATATATATATTAATTTTAATAATTGAAAATCAATCATATATACCTATAATAATTTTACTATTTGAAAATCAATTATACATTATACAATAACAAATTATAATTGTGTTACTTTAGTATGATGGTTTTTATATTTAATATGTACATTATGGATTTAATTTTTTTTTTTTGATGATATGGTCTTTACTTTTAATATGTATATTATATATTTAATTTCTTTTTTGGTTGGTATATATAATTGGGAGAAAATAATAATAAAAGTATAAATTAAGGAAAAAAAAAATCCCAAACGAGGAATTCAAGGAATTTTGGGGAACAGGCTTTTTTCGGGGATAGTCCCCGGCCTCGTCCTGCCCCGTGCCCATCCCTATCTGACGTGGTTGTTATGGGTGGTGATCGGCGAGTGCAATCAGGGGAAAAAGGGTGGGGTTTTGATGGTGGGTTGCTGAGGGTTCTTATGTGGGTTAGGGATAGTGACCAGCGACACCACCTCTCTTCAAGACTAACAAATCATGGAGAGAGGGATGATTGAGAGAGAGAGGTGGCGATAGTGGGTAAGGGAGGGATTTTTTATGCATAATATAAATTGACCATTATGCCCTTACTTATAACGAGCTTTTGACCATTCTACTCTTCTTCACAACGAAATTTACTAACAGATATATACTCTAAATATTTTATATTTTGAAACTTTTTAGATGGGAAGTGTTATTAGGCCAAACCTTGAGTGGGAAACAGTCGCTTACTTTTTTTCTTTTATTATTAAAAATAGAAATGTACATTCTTATCTTACATATCAGTCTGGGCCCCAAGTCCAACATCTTTATACTATTTTTAACCATTTGGGCTGGCTGGGTTAATTGAACCAAGTACACCCGATCTCGCTTTCATGGGATACCTATCATGTAAACCGCTTTCAAATGTCAGATCATTACTTAATTAACTAGTGTTAATCTAACTTTAATGAAACTTATAAATCAAATGAGCCCAAGAGATTAGTCCATCATGTCAAACAAAAATCTCCACTCCATATCATATATTACATGTTTCTTCTTCACCATCATCTAGGATATGTTAAAGAGTTATTATTGAGCAGATTTGGATGATTGAGTTTGTCATTTATATATATATATATATAAAAGATTCAATAGATGAGTTTTCATGCATAAAGAGATCCTTTGTAGTGATCAACACGTTATAAAATATTCAACAAATAGTAGCCTCCCTTTTCCATTTATACATGTCTTCAAACTTACACTAGTTTTATGATTATGATATCTTCTCTTGCATGATTCCAGTTGTACGTAGTGGAGGAGTTCCTTAACGAATGGGTGCCTTGCTCAATCGACTAACACATGGACTTTGAAGTCTTAACTTTAGTACCAAGGAATATAAAATTATTAACTTTTGAAACAATTAAAGAATATCCAATTGAGTCAACACATCATAAAGTTGCATGAAGAATAAAACTTTGTGTACAATTGAAGAACACGCCTTATGCTCGTTAGCTGTAAGGCCACAACCTCCGGCTTCCCTTCTTCTCGCTTGATTGTAGTGCAGGAATTAATTTATTGACTTAAAAGTCTTTAAGAGTTGATAATTGGTCTTTTTATGTTTGTCTCTTTATACAATCAACCAGTAACAAGCAAGAATTTCGAGTGAAAAAGGCATAAAACTTGTAGCAGAAGAGAAGACTGACCGTCGCCATTGCACTAAAAGAATCTATAAACCCTAAAATATCAGAAACCATCAATGCTTCTTGGTGATGGAAACTCATTAATGATAAATGGTTTACTTAAGTTGTGAAATTGCATTGTGGTGGTGATGATGCTGAGTTTATATATTATTTCCAATTATACAGATTATAAATTAACATATATATATAGTAAAGCAAACGCAACAATATAGTAAGAGCAAGATGGGTATTACATTTTTATAATAGATCAAATCTGGTTAAAATCAGTTTAAAAAAAAAGGAATTATTGTAACTGATCATTCTTTTGAGGGGTTTCTTCTGTTAAATAAAGAGTTGTTGTATGAATGCAATAAGGCATAAATATGAATATTTCATATTTAATTGTTAATACATAAATCTGCACCAATCAGAAAATTATGATTGACCCTATCGGAATCGGAATGGATATGCGTGTGATTACGGATAACCAGCAATGGATGAATAATAAATACAATAAAGTAAATGACAGAGAGATTTTTAAAGTAATTCGGCAAGTCAGAACTTGAGTTTACGTCCATTATTATCTTATTGTTTTTTAGAACTTACAAAGAATAGTATAATTCCTAGGAAAATTTGCTTAGAACAATTGCCCAGCCCCCGAAAACAAGTTGTGATTTTATATAGCACCAATTTACATGATAGAGTTGAGATAAGATTCAAATACATAGAATTAGGAAGTTGCATGATCTTCGGCTACCTTAGTTGAAATCTAAGTCAATCTGAATATCTTTCTTCCAAATTGAGGCAATCTAAATATCTTCCCTCCTAATAGGGAATTATTCTCTCCAGATTAACCACACAACAATAGCTCCCAAGTTTTTGGAGTGCGTAATCGCACTTCAAAAACTCATGTCTTTGATCTGGATGGTTGTCGCACTATTGGTTGCAGTCTCGAATTAAAGAACTTGAGTTACGCCTGGTGCAATCTAAGAGATCTGAGAGATCTTGAACACGTGATCTCAAGCGAATGAGCGAGCTTATGAGCTTAATCAGGGAGCGTAAAGAGCTCGATCTGAGAACATAAAGAGCTTGATCTAAAAGTGCGAAGAGTTCAATTAGAAAATGCGGAGAGCTTGATCTAAGAGCATAGCTTGATCAGAAAGCATGGAGAGCTTGATCTGAGAGCATTGCTCGATCAGAAAGCTTGGAGAGCTTGATCTGAGAGCATTGCTCGATCAGAAAGCTTGGAGAGCTTGATCTGAGAGCATTGCTCGATCAAAAAGCTTAGAGAGCTTGATCTAAGAGCATAGCTCGATCAGAAAGCGTGCTCGATCAAAAAGCGTGGAAAGCTTGATCTGAGAGCATAACTTGATCAGAAAGCATGTAGAGCTTGATCTAAAAGCATTGCTCTATCAGAAAGCTTGAAAAGTTTGATATGAGAGCATAGCTCGATCAGAAAGCATGGAGAGCTTGACCTGAGAGCATTCTCGATCGGAAAGCTTGGTGAACTTAATTTGAGAGCATTTCTTGATCAGAAAGCTTGGAGAGCTTGGGAGCTAGAGAGCTAGCGAGCTCTTTCTAATCTGAGAGATTTGAGCACACGATCTGAAGCTGAAGATCAGAGTGATCTAAGTACGCAATTTGAGCGATCTGGCCACACGATCTGAGATCTCTGATTTGGAATAGGCTTCAGTATTTTGACAATAACTTGAGTTGTCATATTTGGATGATTCTTGGACCGTCAGAAAGCTAACTCGAAGGGCTACAATTCTTGTGTTTACCACTTAGCCAGATTTAGACTTTATCTTGCTCAGATTTTCATATTTGATGACGTGATTCTAGATTAAGAAGCTGAGATTTGTTGAAGAAGTTGAGACTTGAGAGGAAAACATGGAGAGCTGCTGTGAATCATACCCTCCTTATAACGCCAAAATGTTGATACAGAAATCTGCACCAACCAAAGAATTTCGATTGACTATGTCGGAGCCGGAATAGATGTGCGTGTGATTATGGATAACCAGCAGTGGATGAATAATAAATGCAATAAAGTAAATGACATAGAGATTTTTAAAGTGGTTCGGCAAGTTAGAATTTGAATCTACATCCACTGTTATTTTATTGTTTTTTAAAGTTTATAAAGAACAGTATAATTCCTAGGAAAATCTGCTTAGAACAATTGTCTAGCCCCCGAAAACAAGTTGTGATTTTATATAACACCCATTTACATGATAAAGTTGAGATAATATTCAAATACGTAAGATTAGGAAGTTGCATGATCTTCAACTACCTTAATTGAAATCTAAGTCAATCTGAATATCTTCCTCACAAATTGAGTCAATCTAAATATCTTCTCTCCTAATAAAGAATTATAGTACCACACAGCATTAATATATATTTATGATTGGGAGAAAATACGCTGAAATCCTGGAGATATACAGTTCACAGTTTCTAATACGAGTTGAATTCCATTAAATTTTGAACCCTATATATTCAAGTTTACATGTGGCAACAAACAGACGTCAGACAGGATACAAATACCGTATATAGAAGGCGCCCAGCCCAATCCCTGTACTTTCTCCTTTTCTTGTCTCGTTTAGGAAACCTCTTAATCATTCTGTAATCAGGATTCATATTCCTTTCTAAAAACTCTCATATAAACCTTTGCTATCTCCTTCAGTTTCTGCACGCACACACACAAACAAACAAATAGACAATGGCTTCTGTAAAGAAATCGTCGTCGTCAACCTCTGTTCTTTGTGTACTTGAACAAAGAACATTGTTCGATTATTTACCTGAAACTCTCCTTCGCAAGAGCTGCAAAACAAACCTATTATTCGTCTTTCTTTCGCTTCTTTTCTTCACTTTCTTCTTTTCTTATTTCGTCTCTCGCACTGTAATCTCGCCACCCGACTTCGCCTTCCTTCCCGCAAACATCTCCGTGCCATCACCAAACAACTCAGGTGCCAACTTTTCCAATAACGTGCTAAGGGAACAAGTCAATAAGGTCTCTCGACACACTCGTCACGTGTCCTCCATTCAAGATTCTGATAAATTAAAGTCCGCTTCCGTTCTTTTTCCGGATTGGGAGGTTCTTGCAATCGTCTCGCCCGGGACACTGTCCGATTCTGTGGACGGTTTGTATTGTTTTTTTTCAACCAAAGAAATTTCTAAGGCTAGATTTTCGGGGGTTTTGCCGTTTACGAATCTCACGACGTTTAAATGTAATATGCCAAAAAGATTTCGCCGTCAACGGCCGTTCTTTCAACCGGTTTTGACGAAACATCCAGAGAAAGAAGAAGAATCTCTCATTACAGAAGCTTCCGCCAAGGAGCTCATCAGAACCAACTTCTACGTGTACGAGGCGCTTTCAACGGAGAACGACGTCGCTTTGTTCGCTAAAGGCGTGAACAGACATCAAGGATTCAGCAGACCTCCTCAAGAGTTAAAGTGCGTATTTGGTGATGATAATGATGCTAAAACCGCCGTTAGAACTCCCGTAACCAGCTCATCACAAGAGGTCTTCAGGTGTGCTCAACCGGACTTAACGGCGTTTACTTCTAACAAGCCAATCAAAGTCTCCATAGAAATCACGAATGACAATCTGATCGTGCCTTCCGTGGCGTACNTATGAAAAGTATCCTAAATCCTATCAAAATTCAATGCAAAATCATAGTGTAAAATACGCTTATCATCTGCCAACATCTCAAGGATTCCGACAAACGTTCGCAACAACCTACCTATTCCAGGCCCAAAATGGTACACACCAGATCAAAAACCACCATCGTAAATCTCAAAAACATAGAGACCACCCACTAGAGGTACAACAGGAGACCGCTGGACGTCAACCACCCGTGCTGCTAACCCAGCACACCACGAATAATCAAGGGCAGGGACGTCAAACCCCGAGAACGGCCAGCTAATAGAGATAACCAGAATAATGGTTGCACAGGCAGTGCAACAAAACGTGGCTGAACTGATGAGCCAACAACCGGTTGTTTAGAACTTCGACTGGCCGCGTATCCCCCCAATAGGTATGAATTCTATAGGTGGACAATCCGTTTCATCAGCACTGAGGGGCGATCAACACCCCCAACCTCGTCGATGGCCCTTTGTTCATGAGCGCGAGTTCCGCAGGCAAACAAACCCTGTGAGGTAGCTAAGAAAGCAACCGTATAGGGAGAGTGAAGGCCATAGGCATCACTGAGAAGCTCGGTAGTATCCCTAGCATCAAAGTGTCTGGTGTTGACCCACACCCAAGACAAGATTGATCATCGCAAGCTCACAAAGCAAGTCACGTGCATCAATTTGGCAATGACGGACATTCCGATTATGACCGACGTCGCGAGCAACACACTGAAGAGCATGGTAGCACTTATCAGCCTAGCCATCATGACTCAACCTCACACATCAACGCATGCATTGGAGGAGCTTCACAAGTGATAGACTTGCGAATTCATTTGCTCGAGGTAAGGCTTAACAAAGCCAGCCAAGGCAACCACAACAAAGACTTAGATCGCGTGCAAAAAATGCTTTACAATCTGAAAGCTTGCCAAAATAACCAGAGAAGGGGTAGTAAGCTCCCCTTTCACAGAGGAGGTTCACTATGCCCTACTTCCACAAGGATTCAGGGTGTCAGAAAGCAAGTTCGATGGAAGAGGGGACCCTAGAGACCACCTCAACAATTTCAATGACCTGATGGAGCTACACCAGGTCTGTGACTTAGCAAAATGCTGATGCTTCACAGTCATGTTGGTCGGGGATGCCAAAAGGTGGTACAAGAGGCTCAAGGCAAACTCCATCAACTTTTGGCAACAATTCTCCTTGCTGTACTTACAGCAATTTCAAGTGAGGAGGCAGTTCATAATGCCGCTTAACTACTTGAGCAATATCCGTCAAGAGAGAGACGAAACACTGACCTCGTACCTAATCAGGTTCCAGAATGAGCAGGCAAAGGTCGTTAATGCCCCCGAGGAATACATCCAAACTTTGTTGATCGCAGGGATTAGGCCGAACACGGAGTTATGGAAAGAGCTCCAGAGCAAAGATCATGTAAGCCGGACTAAATTCTACTAGATGACTACAAAAGACCAGTGAGTAAAAAACTTGTTAGCAGCACTAGCTAGATGCTCGACCAGAGGGGCCTCGGACAGGCGACAAGATTTCCCCCAAGATAAGCATGGAGGCCAAGATCGCAATGATAGGGATCGAAAACAGGTTCTAGAAGAAACAAAGAACAGATAACCACGGAGACAGTCGACCTTTCTTGTGGTATGCAAAATATACCCTCCTCACTTAAGATGTCACCCATATCTACGAAGTGTCCCGAGAGGCAAAGAGATTGCATGATGCAGAAAGGATTAGGAGGGCTCTAGGCAAAAGAAACCGGCAGAAGTATTGCTGATACCACAAGACATCGGGCACAACACAAATGAATGACGAGCTCTAAAAGACGTCATCAAATACTTTATAAGAAGAGGTCATCTGAAAGAGTTCATTATGGTAGAACCAACTCGCAAAAGTCTTGGTGAGCAGAGTAACCAGGCCGCAAGTCAGGCTCAGAACTCGGCACAACAAGCTCTGCCAAACCCCAACGAGGTCTTCATGAATATGATCTATGGAAGACCCGATATAGCAAGGAGCTCGAGACTTGCTGGCGAGCAATATTCTCAGGAAGCCAGAATAGACTTGGCTCCCTGGATAATGAGCTACGAGCAGAAGCTACCCAAGCGACCCAAACAAGAAAGCGAGGTAGTAGGGTTCACCATTGACAAGTGCGAGGTATCCTCTCTCCACAATCATAACGCAATCTTAATTGTGACTAGAATCGGTAATGCCAGGGTCTTAAGGGTGATGGTCGATAATGGGAGCACGAGTAACATCATTTTCTTAGGAGCTTTCCAAGGAATGAGGTTCACAGAAAGAGACTAAGAGCATGCCCTTCGTCATTGTATGTGTTTATTAGGACAGCCCAATTCCCAACGGCACAATCGACCTACCCATAACCCTAGGGGCAAAACCAAAGGTCAGAACAGTGATGGTTGAATTTTTAGTGGTAGATTGCTCGACCACATACAACGTTATACTCGGGAGGCCAATCTTGGATATTTGAGTGCAGTTACATCAATGTGCTGCCAAGCAATGAGATTTTCGACTTCCGGACGATCAAAGCTGCACCAAAAATCTCAGGAATGTTATAACCGAGCTATAAATGCTGCACAAAAATGTCCGCACCTAAGGATAATGGTTATCACAGAATCTAAGCCGAACCCCAGACCGCTCGAGGATACTATAGATCCTCATATCCACAAAGAAGAGCCCATACAAGGTCGACTGAAGAGCTACGAGAAATAAGTGTCAGTGAGGAAGATCCAACTCGCGTGCTGAAAATCAAAACTTGGGGGCACTTGGACCCAATTGGGAAGGTCATTTTAGGATCTCCAAAAAGCTCGCACCAGGATCTTTCCACCCAGAATGCCTCAATGGTGAAGCAATAATGCAAGCTTGGAACGTCGAGCACTTGCAAAGGTATTACCAATAAGCAGCTCGGGTTCCATTTATTTCTATGTTCTACACTCGTTGCAAGGCTGTTTACGGCTAAAACACTTGGTACTATTCGTTCGTCAACATTTAATTACTGATCCATAAATCGTAACCTGAGCAATGGTGTTCCAAAAAGAAAACTCAGAGTCAAGAGTCCCGGAAAGGCAGCTTATCTCAAGAAAGCCACACCAAAAATCCAGCTCATCGAGGATGAAATATCCTTAATCAACAAAGTTAAACTTGAAATTTTTCAAGGAAAAACACGTCGAGGAAAATCGACCCTAACCTGGCAACGAAAGCTCAAAAAGGACGACAAGTCCAAAATCAAAGCTACATGCTACATAAAGATTTTCTCACAGAAATCTGAAAAACCTCCTAAAGAAGCAAGCTACGCATGACTTAGCGCAAATTTGGATCTTAAAGTCCAACTAGGATGAACTAAATGACTCCGCAAAAATATAATAGTCATTGCTCGAAAAGGAAATGATGAAAATTTTCTTATATCAATTGAGTTTGATTACAAATGGGCATCACCAAAAAAAAAAAAAAGACAATCTCTTAGGCCATTGAAGGAGCAGGGGGTTCATCCTCAACTGATTCATGGAACTTGCTATCAGAGGGAAGAGACACATCCTCGACAAGAGGGATGATAGCGGTGTCACCAAGGTTGGGAGCCTTGCTCGGGGGAAGAGTGGTCAGGGGAACCAGAGACTCAACTTCTAGCTTGGGCCCAACCTCTTCCCTACGTTCCTCGACCTCTTCTTGGCCCTCGGCATCATACTTAGAGTCATCCAGTACACGTAGGCCATCTCTTGGGCTTCGACCTTCATCCTCTTGACCTCCTTCTGATTAGGTTGCAGAAGGAAAGAAAAGTCAATCGAGGGATGAGCTTCCCATAGCTTCTACATAAGGAAGATCGATGTTTGCCAGGACCGAGTAGTGATGGCCTCATTTAGCTCTTCAATTCATAGTCTGAGTTGCATGGCCTTAGGTTCGGCCTCTTGCCGACCCACCACCTCCTAGGCAAGGTCGAGCGAAAACTTTTTAAGTTTGGCCTCCCAACTCACTGTAGCCTTTTGGGCCAAGAAAAGCTCAAAGTTCAGCTTGTTATTGGTACCTCGCTACTGTGCTAAACTCTTGCTCGCCTCCATTGCCTTAGCTTCAACCTTGGGCCAAGCAGTCTTGTTTGCATTAAGTTTATCAAGGAACTCCCTTTCCTTGACCTCAAAGACTGCCACTTCCTCCTTAAGTCGTTAGAGCTCAGCCTACTTAGCTTTTTTCTCTTTCTCTGCAACCTCAGCTCTAGCCAAAGCATCCCCATTCATTGTCTCTACCAGCATCCACCCCTTGTGAGTGAGTGCCATCCAAGGTGGCGCTACATTCCTCGTACAGAAGTCTGCTCGCCATGGCAACCTAAAAAGAGAAGATGAGAAGTCAGCAAGAAGCGAGCATAACATACAAAAGGGGGCAGTACTGGTACCTTTGCGGCATAGCTACGAGTTAAAGCCAAAATCTGGGAGGGAAGCGAGTCCCTGATGGCCGCAAATGTTTGCTAGCTGACACAATCCCTAGCCACTATAGCCCTAACACCGATATGTTTGAAGAGTTGATGATCAGTGCATTGATCGTGACTTGGGTCGTGTTGTCTATTTTCTTGCTCTTCCTAGCAATACTCACCTTGTTGACTGGAGCATACTTCTTTTTGGCCAAGTCCTTAGTCGCTGTTTTTCGTGGGCTGCTAGCTTGCATGACAACCTCCTTGCTCGAGCTAGCTTACTGCTCAGCCATCTTTTGCTTTCTAGAGTACCCTAGGGGCTCGGTCATTTTCTTTTTACCCTTGCCATCATGTTGCTCGATTGCCTTCTGCTTCCCCAAGCTCCCAATCAGCTCAAGTGTCTTCTTTACTAGCCCTCTCTAGGGCTCGGAGACATTCTTCCCACCAACTGTCTTCGGAATAATTATGGGCTTTTTTGCACTTGGGCCTTCTCTAAGCTCGCCATTGCCTCGTTTTGAGCTTGCGGTATCAGCTAGTTGCTTTGTCGTCGGAGCAGCCAATGCCTTCTTGACAGCCGCCAAGGCCACCAATTTCTT